GGTTTAGGGCTTGGGGGCTTTAGGGTTTAAGGTTTTAGGGTTTAGGGTTTAGGGTTTGGGGGTTTTAGGGTTCCTTTGGCATGTGGGTTCTCATGGGTTCCCGAGGTTCCTTTAGGGGTTCCATGGTGACGAGTTACTGTAGGTTTAGGGTTTAGGGTTTAGGGTTTAGGGTTTAGGCTTTTCTGGTAGGGATCTCGGGGTAGTATGTCGAGTTGAGCTTTAGACTTAGACCTTACAGCAAACCCCAGAAAGTCTAGCATCCCTAACCGAAAAACCCTCAGATACCCCACGCCCGGACCCTAGGTCTTACGTTCTGCGCGCCATCGGCGTGTCGGAAGACTTGGCGCACACGTGCCGAGCTCGACCATCCGCCTTTTCACCCTCCTGGGTGCAGTGAGTAATGAAAAATTAGGGTTTAGGGTTTAGGATTTAGGGTTTAGGGTTTAGGGTTTAGGGTTTAGGGTTTAGGGGTAACGAGTAATGGAGGAACCTGATTAAGAAACCCCGGCCCCATAACCCAAACAAAAAGACCCAGCGTTTCTTTGTCAGGTTCCTATCGTAATTAATACTGATTACTTCGCTTTCCTTGTCCTCTATTGCTATATTCGCTATGATATCCCTAAACATAGGGGTTCCGCTTAATAAGCGGAACCCCTATGTTTAAGGCCCGTATCGTATCCTCTGCACGGGAGGGAAGGGTTCGTCAGCGAAAATATCGACGTGCGAACTGCGCGTGTACGCAGAGAAAAAATGGTGCGCGAACCGCAGACGAATCGTGAGAGCGGAGAGAAGACATCGCCCTTTTCCCCGCGGATTCTGCGTGTGCGCGGGGAGGGGGGGGGACTACCTCAACTGTTATTTTTTTGTCTTCTTTCGTCAAATCCTGCTTTCTTGGTGCTCTACAAGCAAGACGCACCTTGAAGGGAAATTGATTACAGTCATTGGTAGCAGCTTGTGCCTCAAGGTCCGACTTTCCTCCAAAGCCAAAACAGGCCCTCGAAAGCCTACCTGGGGATGCAGAATCTTGTTGCTTTGAAGGCTGTCCCCCCTTGTAACTAAGGGGTCTTACCCTACTGTTTTGCAGGTTTCTGGGCTACAGGTAATGCCCAAAAGGCCTGACGCCAAGTACGACACACAATTTTGCAGACCGCAACCCCCTTGGTAGACGCTTACAAAGGCCTTCTAAAGCCTTAATGCTGCACCATGGACCGTGAACTACAACCAACCCTGAACCCCCATACCCTAAACCTTGCACCTACTACTCCTTATAATTACCCTGAACCATAGAATCCATAAGCCCTGAACCCTAAACACTGCATTACTACCCTGAACCCTAAATCCCGAAACTCGAACTCTAAACCCTGAGCCCTGATCCTTGTAAGCCCTAAACCCTATAAACCCCTAAACCTGAACCCTAAAAACCCCTAACTAGGTGGCAATTTGGGAAACTTTAAAATTTCCCTTATGGTCTCTGTAGAGGTACCTATTCATAAATACTTTTCAGGACCCTAAACCCTAAACCCTAAACCCTAAACCCTAAACCCATCTAATCTAAAGCCAATGCCCTGTACCAGGTCGTTGAGGTTCGGAATCGGCCGTTTCACGACGGAGGCCGAGGTTGCCGGATGCTTAGAGGGTTTTGGGGTTTAGGGTGTAGGATTTAGGGTTTAGGGTTTAGGGTTTAGGATTTAGGGTTTACGGTTTAGGGCTTAGTGCAAGAGACCACCATGAAGCTCTACGGGGGCCCTTGATTCTAGGGGTCGGAAGACTTAGTACTAGCATCCCTCTTGCAGTCCCTCTCTCAGTGTCGAACAATGGTCACCAAAGCATCGCAAAGCCCCAAACCTTAAACCCCAAACCCTAAACCCCTACCTTAAACTACCAAAATCTACTTGTTGTAGGGTCCCTATCAATTCTAGATTAGGGTTTATCATAAGGACCTACAAAAAAGTAGGGTATGGTAGTTCAAGGTAAGCCCTAAGCCCCAAGCCCTGTTCTATTTTGAAGACCTCAGCATTAGTGGGTTTTGGGGGTGTAGGTTCGGGGGAGATCATTTTGCTTAGGCTTTGTGAGGTTTCCGGCACTTTCTGGCGCAGTTAGGGGAAAAGGGGGCCTTAAGTAACCCTAAACCGCACTGCTTTAGGGTGAAAGATTTAGGATTTAGGGTTTAGGGCCCCGAAACTTTTAAACCCTAAATCCCAAGCCCTAAACCGTGTTTTAGGTAAGGGATATGGGGGCCTTCCGGGCGGAGGTTTTATTCAGGCTGTTCTGTCTAGGACATTTTCAGGTGGGTAGTTACCGTTATAGGAGCCTTATAGAAGGTCTATATACCTCATGGAAGCCTTATAGAAGCCCTATATACCAAAAACTTCCCACCCCTAGTTTCATTTAATTTTGGGCAGGGCACATGGCTCCGATTCTGGAGTTTGATTCCTTGGTTGGGAGAGGCTTTGAAGGTGTTCCGGGCATTGAGGGGTTTATCCTTCAACAACAGAGCATTCCGTGAGTTGTGGGGGCTCTTTGCAGGCTCTTTGTCATGGATGGGCTACGCTCAAACGAGCTTTTGCCAGACCGCACAACCCGTGGCTTCAGAAGTTCCGCTCCGCTACCATACGTGTTTGGAATGGGTGGCCCTCTGAATCAAGGTGGCGAAATTGTCTCTGTGTGTATATACAGGTTCATACGTACATGCACATGTGTGTACGTACGTATGTACGTATGCACGTATGTACGTGTGTACGTACGTACGTACGTATGTACGTAGGTAGGTAGGTAGGTAGGTAGGTAGGTAGGTAGGTAGGTAGGTAGGTAGGTATGTAGTAGGTGTGCATGTGTCGTACAGAATCACATGCATGTCGTACACCACCGCATGATATATCTGACATGGGCGGCACCCCACAGGAGGGTGCGGTGTCCCAACTCCAACCCATAGTCACCCTAAACCCTAAACCCTAAACCCTAAACCCTAATCCATAGTCAGGATAACACCGTCAAGGACGTTGTGAGAGAGGCTTGGCTCCGTTTTCGTGACTTAGGGTTTAGGGTTTAGGGTTTATGGTTTAGGGTTGAGGGTTATTGTGCTTGCTGTAGTTGTTCGGGTCCGGGGTTCGGGGTCCCTGAGCCCTAAACACCCTGAACCTTTAAACCCCTAAACCACTAAAGCCCTAACGTCCCTAAGCCCTACAACCCCTCAAGCCCCTAAACCCTCAACCCTAAAACCCTAAACCCTAAACCCTAAATCCTGGCCCCTAAAACCCTCAACCCTAAACCCTAAAACCCCTAAGCCCCTAAACCCCCAAAGCCCTATAACCCCCAAAGCCCTCAACCCTGAACCCAAAAACCCCTACTATAGAAGCCTAAATAATTACCAGTATAATGGTCCCCAAAACCTTATTCTAATTGTTATAAGGCCCCTACATGAAGCTAAACCCTAAACCCTAAACCCTAAACCCTAAACCCTAAGCCCTAAGCCCTAAGCCCTAAGCCCTCGCTCCTGGAGTTGGCGGCTTGCGGGTTCGGGGTTTCGATCTGATCGGGACTTTGAAGGGGCCGTCGGGGGCTTCAAAGCCGCGGGATCTTTGGACAAAAACGTACATATTTGTAAGTCATAAATACACATACATACATATACACACACACACACATATGTATGTATGTATATATATATATATAGAAAAATGGGGGGGGGCTAGTGGGAGCTATGCAAAACTATACTTATACTTGTAGTTATGACCGTACATCTACATATGTTTTTTTGGAAAACAGGATATTGTCCCGGGATTTCTGTACGTTGCGAGCCTACGGTCCTCACTTTGTCAAGCAACATGTCTTCCAGACGGCTTTGTGCCGTAGATGTGGCCTTAGCGCCCAAGCCAAAAGCTTCCGAAGTCCTAACCCTAAACCCAAAACCTGTGCATCCTTACTCGCAGGTGCGGCTTTGTCTGGTTCAGGCATTGTTGCAGTCCCGTGTGCAAGCTCCAAAACCTGTGCTGAGGCTGCGAGGTTCAAAGAGTCGAGCTCAGCACCCGGTTTAGGGTTTAGGGTTTTAGGGTTTAGGGTTTAGGGTTTAGGGTTTTAGGGTTTAGGGTTTAGGGTTTAGGGTTTATCCTGAATAATGAGACCCTCATTATTAGGACCCGCAATTCAGGTATCCCTATGTAAGTTCAAGAAGCCTGACGTCACACCCTAGCAGTTCCACTGAACTGCACAGTGTGGCAACCCAGAGGCCCGAAGAAAAAAAAAGGTAGGATTCCCCAAAGTACCTAATATAGGGCCCTGAATAATTACTTGCCTGCCCGAAACTCGCCCTGTAGGATTTTAACTTTTTGTTCGGACATATAGAACTTGAAAACCCTCTTGCTAGTATATTAATATCCGAGTCATATATACCCCACCCCCCCAAGCTAATTTAGAATAGGGTTCCGGGGGTTCCTTATTATAGTTATAGTATAATGGACCCCAAAACCTTGGCGAGAGTCGCAGAACCAGACAGCACAGCCCCCTGACGAGCGACGACAGGCCATTGCACTTATGGTCCCTGAACCCTTACACTCCCTAAACCCGAAACCCTAACACTCCCTAAGCCCTAAACCCTAAATCCCAACACTCCCTAAACCCTAAACCCTAAACCCAAGCCCAAAGCCCCCCTAAACCCGGCCAAACACCAAACCCTGCACCCCAGACCCCAATATCCTCTTGAAGCACCGAAGCATACCTAAGTCTAAACCCTGAAGCCTGCAATATTAAACTCTAAACCCCTAAACCCCTAAACCCGAAACCTCTAAATCCCAGGACTCCCTAAACCCAAAACCTTATGTACAGCACCGACGATCCCTGGAAAGGTGCGGCGGCTGCGTGAGATGAGTCCCCTCTGGGAGCTCGAGCTCGAGGTGCTGTGCCTTTTTGTTTATGCTTTAGGGCCTAGGGCTTCGGGAGGGGTTTAGGGTTTGGGGTTTAGGGTTCAGGGTTTACGGTTTTGTGATTTAGGGCCTAGGGCTTCGGGCTTAGGGTTTAGAGTTTAGTGTTTCAGGGCTTCAGGGCTTAGGATTTTAAGATGTAGGGTTTAGGATTTAGAGTTTTACCTGTTCTGTTTTAGGCATTCCTTTATTTAAGGACTCAATACAGAGATCTATTGGGGGTTGTAGCAGTGGTTTCATAGTACGGGCTCTTAGTTGTTGTTTTTTGTCAGTTGTCTTCTTTGGGGCTGTGGCTGCTGTAACGAGGGTCAGCAACAGCAATGATGGGAGCAATGACACTAGTGAAAGTAAAGCCAGTACTAACAACCATCACAACAACAACAGAAACAAGGCTGCTAGTAGTAAGAACAACGTTGAGGATTGCGATAATGACGATGATGCTGTTGATGTTGGTGATAATAATGGTGGCAGGAGGCTTTGGGCTTCGGTCTAATCCCGAAACCCTAAACCCCAAA